AAATGAAAGATATGGGTGAGGCGGGCTATGTGATAGGAATAGAAATATTCCGTGACAGATCACAAGGAATGTTGGGCTTGTCTCAGAAAGCATATATTGACAAAGTTTTAGAGAGATTCAGAATGGATAAATGTTCAGCATCTCCCGTTCTAATACAAAAAGGAGACAAATTTAGTCTCATACAATGTCCAAAGAATGAATTGGAACGGAAACAGATGGAAAATATCCCTTATGCATCTGTTGTTGGGAGTTTGATGTATGCTCAAACTTGTACGAGGCCAGATATTAGCTTTGCAGTTGGTATGCTTGGGAGATACCAGAGTAATCCAGGACTAGATCATTGGAAAGCTGCAAAGAAAGTGTTAAGATACTTGCAAGGGACAAAGAATCACATGCTTACTTATAGGAGATCTGATCACCTTGAGGTGATTGGATATACAGATTCAGATTTTGCTGGTTGTATAGATACAAGAAGAAAGTCTACATTTGGTTATGTGTATCTTTTAGCCGGAGGAGCAATTTCATGGAAGAGTATGAAGCAGTCAGTCATTGCTGCATCCACCATGGAGGCTGAGTTTGTGGCATGCTTTGAGGCCACAGTTCAGGCCAACTGGTTGCGGAATTTTATTTCAGGACTTGGAGTAGTTGACAGTATTGCCAAGCTGCTAAAAATTTATTGTGATAATTCCGCAGCTGTCTTTTTTTCTAAAAACGACAAGTATCCCAAAGGTGCTAAGCATATGGAATTGAAATACTTTGTCTTTAAAGAAGAAGTTCAGAAACATAGAGTGTCAATAGAACATATTAGCACTAATCTTATGATTGCTGACCCTTTAACAAAAGGGTTACTGCCCAAAGTATTTACTGGCCATGGAGAGAATATGGGCATTATGTCTACTAGTGAATGTTAAATGTTAATGTTGTCTTTAATGCCTATTTGACACTGAGCTCATTAATGTACAAGTTTCTAAAATTTATGTTTTCTACTTTATGTACAGACATGCAAATTATGATGTGGAAAACTAATTATGTTATTGTTAATGAAAATGACTTTATGTTTGAACCCATTATGGACTTCTCAGTTTAAAGTCATGTTAAGGAGAAGGGTAATATAGTAGTACATGGAAGGGAATATGTTGATTGAATGACATATAACCGCCATGACTCTTATTATTTCTGTATCTTTAATTATGATTAATGACAGAACCAATTTATTTAAAATTTTAATGCACATAATGATTTATGTAATTGTTAAATCATGAAATGTTATGGCATCACATGAGTCAAGTGGGAGAATGTTGGAAAAATAAATAAATTAATAAATTAATTAGTGTGACTCATGTGAAATATAATTATGGATAAAAGGGCCTATTGGTAATTGGTTATTATTATGGGAAGTTACAACTGAAAGAAAGTTACAACTGAAAGAAACCAACTTGATGGAAGTGGATCTAATAGAATAAGGGTTCTATCTCTGCCAAGGAAGTAACTCACCGTTAACCATCGAACATGAGAAAGAACAGAAAAGAAAGGGCAAAGAGATAGATTGAGGAAAGGAGATTCAGGAATTACTCTCATCAGATTTCATGGATAAAGGTTAGTGTCTCTTGTTATTTCAACGTGCATGTGAGAATAATAAATTCTATGATCCTTATCAAGAACTGTAATAGTGACTGCCTAAGAATAGGCATGATGTTAAGGTACGTAGGAGGTTGCAAGTCAACCAAGGGATCAGCGGTGGGGACAGAGAGATGTTGAGAATGGACTGTAAATACTGCAGAAATGGTGTCTGTATCATAAAGACTACGGATATATGAAATTGAGCCTGAGAGGTTGTTGGAAGTGGGTGAGAATCCCCTTTGAGAGTAACAAAAGAAGTGCTGAAACTTAGCGATAGCAGCTTGGAGTTTCTTTAAACAAGTGTTTTTTGCCATAGGAGGTACAACGAAAGCACCAAAATGTCACAGTACTCAGACAACAATCAGAATAACTTCCCCTTGATTCTATTACTACCAAAAATAGAAATAGTAGTCATAGTATAGAGAATCTCATGAAAAAAAGGTAGAGAAAAGAAGGAGAAAACCAAAGGTTAATGAATGAATAGACGTGATCCCCTTCTCATATCATGTCAACAACATCATTCTAAAAAAAAAAACGTAAGCATAGTGTTGGTTACCCTTTTTTCTTTAAGGTTGTTAGTTACTTTTTACTTTAATCACTTTTTAGAAGTGAATATTTTTCTAAGTGTTTTTTTTTATCATGCACCTTTTGTAATATTAGGAATGTTGTGTCATATCTTGTAATCTATATATGATCAATTCATATTTAATTGTAAAATTTCTCATAGTATTCAAGATCAACAAATGATTATTAATAAAACTCATAAAATTGACTCTTCTTTTTATTGTTTTCTTTTAACTCTATCAATTTTTTCTAATATCTTCTAAAATCAAATCAATACAATATATAACACATAGGTTCAAAATAAATGTTGTCTCTTAACTTGTAACAAGTTATCTAAAATTAAACGTCATGATTTAAAATAAGAAATTAATGAAATAAGAATGAAAAATATTCTTGTAATTAACATTTTTTAAACTTTTTTAAAAATTAACATTTTTTTAAATATATTACTATTTAAATGACAAAAGACTCATTAATTACGAATGTCAAAGAGTTAGGCTAAACTAATTATTGAAGTGATACATATATCGGATAAAATATGATAAAAGTCAAAAGATTAATTTTAAATAATTAATCTATAATTCTTTTAGAGTTTCTTTTAATTTCATTTATCTTATATTGACACATAATTTACACAACTGATGAAAATAATACTTCTGGAAGCATTTCTTTAAGTTATATTATTAAAATGTTAAAAAATGCATTTGGCAATATTATATTTTATTATTTTATGAAATATTAAAAATATAATTTTTAACTTAAACATACTTCTTGTTATTAAACAAATTGCCCAAAAACTCTTAAAAATTAAAATTTATGCTATTTTATGACAGCTTTTGGGTGCTAAATGCTAATGTGCTTGGAGCCTTGGACGGGTTGACTCCGTGTTTCCTACGTGTAATGTAATGCAATGCTATTATCGTGCATTGCAATTTGCAATTGCCAACTGGCAATAACTTCGCTCCTAGGGTTTTTTGTCTGTATAGGGTTAAATCAAAAACTTTTTATCCGTATGGGGTTCTTTGACAAAAAATTCCCTGTCTAGGGTGATTTGTGAGTGTCGTGATAAATATTGGCGACACATGATCAAGTATCGGCAACCACAATGCCGACACTAGCTTAAGTTTCGGTACAAATTATTTTCTGACACATGTGTGTCGGTTAAAATTTTGCGACACTTGTGTATTGGCTGAAAGAATGCCGACACAGTTGTCAGAACCGCTCTCTATATATGGACTACTGAGAGCGGTTCAAAAGGAACCACTCTCTAATATAGACTTCTTAGAGCGGTTACTTTCAAACCGCTCTCATAAATCAATTTTAGAGAGCGGTTTGAACCGCTCTGACAAGTTATTTTAGAGAGCGGTTAGAAAGTAACCGCTCTAAGAAGTCCATTTTAGAGAGCGGTTGTTATGGAACCGCTCTCTAAAATGGACTTTTGAGAGCGGTTCGAATTTGAACCGTTCTCAAAAGTCATGTTAGAGAGTGGTTCACACCAGTGTCGGGTTGTTCAGGACCGACACACACTGATTGGTCCAGGCCCTCCATCTTCTTCTCCTTTGTGCTTCTGGTTCTGTTATTCATCTTCTTTGGTGAAAAATTTTTGCAAATTGAAAACGCAGAGGTGGAGGTGGAGAGGAGAAGCAAGGCAGATAGATTGCATATTTTTAAAGCTTTGAAAGGTAAGAAAAAAATATTATAGTGTATATTAGATATAAATATAAAATATTTATTCTTGCTTCCGTTTTTGGTCCCAGGAATATTGCAATCGGTGGTGGTCCAGGCTATTGTGAGAGGGACTTTCGTGGTGGTCCAGATTCTTAGTTCAAAAGGTTAGTAAAAATTTATATTTATAGTGATTTTGTTATGCATGTAAAAAATAGGAAAATAGGAATATAGAAAAATAGAAAAATAGGAATATAGAAAAATAGAAAAAAAAGAATATAGAAAAATAGAAAAATAGGAAAATAAAAAAATAGTTAAATTAAAATATATAATTTTCTTGTTACTTATGTAAAAAATAATCAAATAAGAAATATAAAAGAATTAAATTGAATAAATATATGAGGAAAAATTATGTGTGATTATTATTATAAGGTTAATAAAATATAAAATTATGAATAACAAAATAAAATTGAAATAATAAGAATGAAATACATTAATTAATAAATTTATATTATAAGAATCTGCAGTTGTTAAATTTGTAATAATATTTCAACAAATATTATGTCACATAAATAAGAAATAGTAAATAATTTAAAATTGTGAAAGATTACAATATAGTTATGCATCAAATAATTATAAATTAGATTAATTTAAAAAAAATTAGAGTAAAATATAAGGAATTAAGTGAAATAAAGATGAATATATAAGCAATGTAAGTTAAATAAAATTGAAAATATTATTTTAAAATATAAATGACTGAAAATAAAAATATTAGATCAATATTAATTTAGACATTTGAATATTTTAAAAAGTTTGTAGTTATTTAATTGATTTTAATCAATAATAATAAATTACAATTTTATGCATGTAAAAAAACAAAAACAGAGAAAGAGAAAAATAGGAAAATAATTAAATTAAAATTAATTTTTCATTTTATTTATGTAGAAAACTGTATTTAAAAGTAAAAATGATGATGATATTATTATTGTTATACAAATATTATTATCTTAAAATAACAAAAAAATATAATTAGAAAAATATTATTTGAAGGTACAAATTGTTTAATACTAAAATGATATTGTTTTTATTAAATTTGGTTGCTTATATTATAAATTTGAAGTTAATAGTTTACTTGTGTATATAGATTTTAGATGGCATCATCTTCGTCTCGTAGTAGGGTGTTAAATCCCGGCCCCGAGGATGGTTCATTACTGCGCTATCAGTCTATTCATGTTTTAGAGCATATTTGGGATGGTCGTGAACACCCAATATTGAGAGTGAGAAGAGGTCATTTCATACATGCTGGCATGGAGGGAGTACCAGTAGAGATTATTCCTCATTTGACAGTAGCAGGATTTGCTGGAGTAGTACAGTTGGCTACTATTCCTATTGACCGCCAATTGATTACAGCGTTGGTAGAAAGATGGAGGCCAGAGACCCATACATTTCACATGGCCCCTGGAGAGTGTGCTATTACTCTTCAAGACATTGCTATTCAGATGGGTCTTCGTATTGATGGAAGACCAGTTATTGCCCCTACAGGAGGTGACAGGGCATAAATTGTTGAAGATTTATTGGGAATTAGACCACCTAGTTCTGCATTTATGGGGAGCGGCTTGAAACTTACTTGGTTGGATGAGCATTTTTCCCATGTTGGGTTGCACAACCAAAATTCCATTCAGCTAACTCGCTTTGCAAGAGCATATATTTTGAGACTTATTGGTGGGTTTATGTTAGCTGATCATTCTAGTAACAGGGTCCTAGTTAGGTACCTTCCTTTACTTGAGGATTTAGAGATAACTGGACAATATAGTTGGGGAAGTGCAGCGTTAGCCTTCCTATACAGAGAGTTATGCATGTCCACGAATATTGATCAGTCTGGTATTGGAGGATTGACTCCACTTGTGATGCTGTGGGCGTGGGATAGGTTCCCATTTCTATCTCCGGGTGATCCCCCTTACACACAGAATGATCTTCCTTATGGTGCATGGTATGTCTATAATATTAAAACTTTCATTCAATATTTACACAACAGTATTTTATTACAAACAATCATGCTAATATTTATGTTTTTATAGGTGGTTAAGATTTCAAAATTTTAGGAAGGGGAGAAAGGATCTAGCTTACTTTAGGTTCAAATTTGATCATTTGAAACATGATCAGGTATGCGTTATTTGTTTATGATATATGTTATCATCAATTAATAATTATGAATAATTACATTAATATTTTTTACACTTGCAGTTTGTGTGGCAACCATATAGTATAGATTTGATGCATACTTTGCCTGCCATATGCACTGAGGGCATGCATATATAGAGAGCTATTGTGCCGCTTATTTGTTTCCAAATATGTGAATGGCACCAGCTCGATCGTACCATGCGTCAATTTAGGATGGTACAACATATTCCTCATGCTCCTTATCAGCCAGACCAGCTACATGACATTACTCTTAGAGAGAAGACTGCTGACAATTGGGAGTCAAAGTTCAGGGACGTACTAGAGCATTGGGACAGGAGATTAGATTGGGTTGTGAGTAATGAACTGCAAATTGGTCTACTGAGTTCGAACTCTGAATACATGCGGTGGTACCATACTCATACTAGACGGTGGATGAGCAGAGATGCTGCAGTGTTTGCATTACTTGTACGTATAAATCATTCTAGTAAACGATTTTGTTTGTTTAATAGAATCTAATCTGAATGTAATGGTTATGCAGGGAGATGCTCATGAGAGGGCCTATTACTTGTGTAATGATGGGAGGGACACATTTTCATTTGAGGAGATGAAGGATTTGTGTGAGACGATGTTAGCCTTGCAAAATGAGTAGGAACGTATCTTAGAGCCTTCATCCTCATGTGATCCTCCTATCCAGAGTGGAAATCTAGACGAGCCTCAGATTGACATTGGTATTGGTGAACAACGTCGGGAAGGCAAAGGTTTGCAACGTCGGCGAACATCAATTCAAGTATTGTTACCTTATGCTTCATTGGCTCATTTTACTTAAATTATAATACTTTATGTTTCATTGAACATACTTATGTGTTTAAGATTGCAGGCCACAGATTTTACATTGCCCCCTTTGCCCGAACGAGGAGATGGTGTTTATTATGTCCCACCACCTTTTCCGTTTCAACAATCACAATGGACACAGTCATCTTATGTTCACTCATCACAGCAATCAAACGTCCCTCCTGCATCTCCATTTTTCAGCGGTGAATTTTATGTTCCTGACGCTAGCCTTTTCATGACACCTCCTCCATATGAGCCTATGTTTTTTACACCGAGTGCACCAGGTGTAGGCACTCATCAAAGTGGATGTAGTGAGCAAACAACATCATTACGACCTGGGCATGACCGTGGAATTGATCTTAATGCTGAATTCATTGCAGCCTCAGATGCAGCAGGAGCTGATGTGAGACGTAACCCTCACCGTGGAGCGCGAGATCGTCGTCGATAGTGCATTCTCACACCTCATGAGGAGGGACCTCACGAGCAGTCATTGAATTCTGATTGAGACTATGTTATGATACTGTATTTGAAAACTTTAGATGATGTTAATGAATGTTTACTTTTGTTTAAATGCACGACTCATTTATAATTTGCCACATTCTACACATTTGACATCAAACAAGATTAATCAAACAACATACATTAATAAGACAACATACCACAATAAGACAACATACATTAATAAAATCTAGCACACTTTTTACAATCATACGAAACTACTCATGATTAATGTTAGCATTGCTTTGTTGAGTACAATGACGTTGATTATGACCTGGTTGTCGACATAACCTACATCGTTGTCGAGGTTGTGACTCAACCCAATCCATTTCATTTCTAATTCTAGAAGCCTTTGGTCTTCCTTTACCTCGTGCTCTATCTTGATCAGGCAACAACTTCCATTCATCATTTTGTAAAATGTTTGCTTCATTTCCAAGCGGCCACCACTGAGATGAGTATGCGTTCACAACATACTGCAGAGTATATACAGGATCAACATACTGCCAAAAGTCTATACTTACAGTAACACAAGCGGCTATGACATGTGAACAAGGGTATCGGTATGCCTGAAATTTGCCACATTCACATTCACGTGTAGATAATATCACACTCCACTTATGACCCCCCTTTGTGTCATTGGATTAAAAGCCTCTTCAATCTCGAACCTTGTACTTTGTATGTCGTAACGACAAACCTGATGTGAAGATGCTTCTTCTTGATTTTTTTTCTATAGCTTCAATTAATTTACGACAATACCTTTTACCATTGTTCATGTCATTGATTGCACTTTCACCCCGTTTGACAAAATATTCGACCAATCTACTATAGGTTGCTTTGACAAGGGCAGTAATTGGGAGATTTCTTGCCCCTTTTAAAACTTTATTCACTGACTCAGACAAATTAGTCGTCATGTGACCATAACGCCGCCCTTCATGATCATAAGCCAAGCTCCACTTTTCCTTTGATATGTTGTCAATCCATGTTTGAACTTCAGGAGAATGCGAACGAAATTTATTAAGACCAGCTTCAAATCTTTGCTTGCAAGGTGTATATGCTACATTTAAATAAGTTATACAGTTAATGGTGAAAAATAAATATATATTCATAGATAATGTAAAATGTAATAGTGATAACATACTTACCTAATTTCATAAGCATACTCTTCATTGCGGAATTTTTGAATCTTCTATTGAAATTGCTTGCAATGTGACGAATGCAATAAACATGGTAAGCATTAGGAGGTTGCCACCCAATATGTGGATTGGACACAACACTTTTAATACTTTGATGGCGATCAGATATTAAACAAATTCAAGTTTTATCAGTAACATTTAGACGGATCATGGCTAAGAACCATTCCCATGCTGATAATATTTCTCCTTCAACAATGGCAAATGCTATAGGAAGCACACTGTTATTGCCATCTTGAGTTGTAGCAATAAGCAATGTTTGCTTATACTTACCATACAAAAAGGTACCGTCTACCTGTATTATAGGCTTGCAAAACTTGAAGGCTTCACGACATTGCCTAAACGACCAAAATACTCGATGAAAGACTCTGAATCTATTATCCATTTCATTACCTCTCACATAATCATTGGTCTCAATTTTGTAAACTGACCCTGGAGCATGTAATTGCATGTATTCTAACCATCTTGGTAATGTTGCATAAGATTCATCCCAATCACCAAATATTGTCACAATTGCTTTTTGCTTTGCTTTCCATGCTTTTTTGTATGAAATTGAATACCCAAATTGGCCACTTATTCTCTCTTGGATTAATGAAACAGGAACAGAAGGTTCTTCTTTGACCATACCTGTCAATAAAATTAAACAATACATCTCAGCTAATGATCATATCCAAATCATTTTAAATAGACAAATAAATATAATCTCAATTGAGTTTCACGTACCAATAATGCATGAACAAATAAAATTTGAATCTAACTTTTTGTGGTCTTGAGAAATCATAGTATTAACGCAGGTATGCATATCACCCCATCTCGTAATTTTCCACTTATTTGAATTTTTGGGTAGCAATGCTCTTACTTTCCAAGGACACCCGGAAATATGATTCACACACTTGACAAAATGAGTTGATGCTTTTGACTCAACCACAAAAAATGTTTGATGTTTCTTCATTGCATAATGTTTTATCGCCATCTTTACCTCCTCTTTAGAGTCAAATAGTTGTCCAACATATAATGCATCTCCTTGTACCCATGATTGTGACGAATGCAACTCAGAAAAATCCAATTCTTGATCAGGATGTTCCCAATTAATAGCAGTGTAGTGTGAACTTATGTTCCAAAAAGGTGTTATAGAATCTGTATTAAACTCAAGAAATGTTAGTTAAAAATATTTAACAATTATTGTATTATATAAAAATGTACCTACAGATTATCCTTGCATAATGTTATTTCTTTCAGTGTTTGGAACTGTCATCATTAAATCGAAGCCATCTTCCAAATCAGTATCAGAAAAACTATCTAAAGGAATTTCTCCTTCATCTTCATAGTCATCATCGTACTCATCTTCGTCATCTGTAGATGCAGCAGCAAATATTTATTAATAAATTATAAAATTTTAAACATCATATAATTTAAATAAATATTATACATTACCTCCTCCAATTGCATACTCTTCTTCATTGTCACTAACAGACACAGTTGGGAGTGATAAATTTAAACATAACAAACTTTCACCTACATGAGAAGTTTCACCAACCGCAATATCCACATATAACTCAACTACTCTTTCATGTCGTTTTTGACAAGCACTTATCATACAGTCAATGTTTTCATCATCACATACATATAAAATTGTGTAATTTCCACTCCTTGAATCAACTAAAATTCGTGAAATTAGTCTAGAAATTACATTACTATTGCACAATCTCAATTTTGTATGTATTTTTTTTTTCAACATCTCAAAAGTAATTCCACGTTCTATTTTAATCATTTTCTTATTCCCTTCAAATATAATACCCTCATTTCCTTCGTACACTCTTCCATTTCAGTATAAAATAACCACAATTTCAGTCATCCTG